GCGCAAGGGTTCGCGGGTTGGCAAAAGGCCCACGCGGCACTGGCACGGGCTGTCGGCCGTGGCGGCGCTGACGCTGGTGACGACGGCGACGACGACGGCCCCAGAACTGGCGGCCGAGCTGGCGGCGGCCGACGGAGCGGTGGTGGAAGTACTGGCGGCGGTGGCTGCGGCGAGACAAGCAGCCAGTGCTCGCGCGCCACGGCGCGGCGGCCCGTCGCGTGACGCCGCGCTGGAGGCGCTGGCGGCCGACGCTGTCGCCGCGCGCAAGGCCGGACGGCTCGGCACGCCGCTGCTGCGGGCGGTGGCGCGCAAGCTCGGGCAGGGGGATCGGCTGGCGGACGCAGCCAAGGGCCTCGAGACCGAGTTGGAGGCCGTCCTCCGCGACTATCACAAGCTGAAGGCCAAGCACACCAAGGCGCTCGGGCGGGCCAAGGTGCTCAAGGACGGCCTGCGCCGGTCCAAGGCCGCCCGTCGCGACGACGCTGCCACTACCTCGGCGCTCATCAAGTCGGCGCACAGCTACATTGACGCCAACGTCCGCGCCCGCTTTCCGCAGGCGCGATTTCCGGCGCTCGCCACCCTCCCGCCGCTCCCGGCAAACGTCAAGATCAAGGACGTGAGCGCGCTGCTCAAGTCCCTCGTCCGCGCCCTCCTCGCTGACATTGTCACCCTCCTTGGAGCCTCGGGTGCCGGCTCGTCGTCGGCGGCCGCAGCCGAGACCAAGGCTGTCGCCGCAAAGGTCGCCGCCCAAGTCGCTCGCCTCCGCGATGATGACATGGCAGCGCTGGAGGCCTACAAGACCGAGGCACAAGCCCGTGTGGCCGAGGCGCTCGAGAGGCTCGCCCTCCGCGAGAGCGAGCTTGTCGCTGACATTGAGATGGAGCGCGACGAGCTGGAGTATCAGATCGAGAGCCTCCGCCGCGAACTTGCCAGCGCGCAGCGTTGCGCGCCGTCGGCCAACTCGAGCCCGGCACCGCTTGCTGCTCACCACACCTCGCTCGCCGCCGCTGAGGCTGCGTTCGAGTCGTTGCTAGCCGACGCCGACGCCCGCGGCGCCAGCTCGCCCGACGCCGCTGCTGCTGCCGCCGTCGCCACAGCCCTGCTTAACCTGCCCGAGCCGCCGCCGGCGGATATGGGCGACTACGAGGGCGACGACGTCCGCGCCCAGTGGAGCGTCTCTGAATGGGACTCGGCGCTTGCGCTCGAGCGCGAGCGGCGAGCGGCGCTTCAGCACCGCTATGAGGCTGTTGTGGCCCTCCTCCACGACCGGACCAAGGACGCGCTGACCGCGGCGACTCGCCTGCCCGCACAAGGCGGTTCCACAGTCTCACCGTCCAAGGCTGCGGCACTCAAAAGCCGGCTCGAAGCCGAGCTTGCGTTCTCAGATAAGCTCCGCGCCACCGTCGAGCGGCTGCAGTTTGAGCTCGAGGAAGCCCGCGCCGAACTGGCTGCACTGAGAGAGCAGTCGATGGCGCAGGTGGCAGCACTGTCGCCGCCACACCGGCCGCATGCCCATCTCGATCTCTCGGACATTTACTCGCACGACCACATGGCGCTCGAGGAGCTCCACGCCAAGCACACCGCACTCGCCGAGCGAATGGCGCAGGTCCAGGCTGCGCGGGTAGCAGCCGAGGCCCGTGCCGAGGCCGCCGAGGTCGCCGCCGCCGCCGCCGCCGCCGCCGCCGGCGAAAACGACGCTGGCCTTGCAGATGTCTACGCCCACGACCACAAGGCGCTTGCTGAGGCCCAAGCCCGAGCCGATGAACTTGCCGAGCGGCTGGTCAAGGCGCTCGAGGGCAAGGCGGCGGCCGAGTCACGGGCAAGTACTGGAGCAAGCGTGGCGGCTGAGGAGCTTCGGGCCGAGCGCGATGCGGCGCGGGCACACGCAGCCCGGCTGGAAGACGACCTCGCGTTCTACGTGGCGCATTTCAAGGACCTGACCGCCGACGAGGTCGAGCTCTCACGAGTCGAGCTCCTCACTAAGCGAGTCGAGCTACTGCAGCACGAGCTCGCTTCCGAGCGGGCCAAGGGACGCGGCTCGGATCCCGAGTGGGAGATGGTCCTTCGCGAGAAGCGCCAGCTTGAGGCGCAGGTCCGCAACCTGTGGGCCCGCAATCGTACGCTCGAGGGCGAGAGCGGCGGACAGAGCGACGTCTCGTCCACGGCGCTGCACGATGCCGAGCTCGAGCGGACCAAGCTTGCTAACCAGCTCCGGCTTCTCCAGGAACGGTTCAATGTCCGCGCTGCCGCCGACGAGTACGAGCTGCAGCGGCTGCGGGCGCAGGTGGCGGCATCGCGGCGGCGGCCTGCCACGGCGACGTCAGCAGGCGGAGCAGCCGCAGAGCCGCATCCAGACACACCAGCGCCGCAATCGCGGCGACGGCGGCGGCGGCCCGGAGCCGAAGCTGACCCGTCAGCCGTTCTCTCCGAGCTCGAGGTGACGCGGCTCGAATCGGAGCTCAACGCAGTCCGCCGAGAGCGGAGCGCAGTCGATTCGGAGCGTAAGCGGCTCGAGGCAGCGCTGGTGGCAGCACAGAGTGGTCGGCAGCGGGCAGCATGATGTCATTTTACGAACAAAGACCTGCTGCGCTACCGGCGGAAGCGGAGGAAGAGGCCGAGGCCTGCGGTGAGGGCGACGCCGAGGCCACCGAGCGCAACGAGGGCGCGGGTGTGCGCGGCAGCGGCGAGAGCGGCGTGTGAGACCACGTCCTTGTTGGCCGAGTGGACGGCCCTGGCGGCGGTCTCCAGCTCGGCAGTCATGCGATCGACGGCGGCGGCGGCGTCGGCAGCTGCTGTCCGGTGCTCGCCAGCCTCCTTCTCGAGCGCCTTGTAGCGTGCGGCAAGGGCGGCGAGGACCTGGCTCTGGGCCTCGACCTGGCCGGTCAGCTGGGCCACGTTCTTGACCTCGACCTCAAGGCGGGCCTCAAGCTCAGACTTGGCGGCAGTCACCTCGCGGGCCGAGGCGTCGGCGGTGGCGACCTGTGAGCGGAGGGCGTCGGCCTCGCGGCGGGCGGCGGCAACCTGGGCCTCGAGCTCGGGCACCTTGGTCATAGCGTACTCGTTGTTAGCCTCCGACTCGGAGGCGAGGAGAAGCTGCAGTGCCTGGGCAACTTCGATCTGGTCGGCGAGCTGGGCCTTGATCGCGTCGGAAGCGGCCTCGTCATAGTCGGCCGGAAGTTTGGCCTGCGCCACGGCGTGGGTCCATGCGGCCTTGCGTGAAGCAATCGCCGCCACAGCGACCGAGTCGGTTTCGGCGTAGCTCGGTGCAACAATAGTCAGCTGTGACTCGGTGGCGGCTGCAAAGGCGTCGGGCGAGGCCCAAACACCGGTGGCGAGGCCGGCGGCAAAGGCGGCGCCGAGCGCAGTCGTCTCCAGCATGGCTGGGCGCTCAACCGGGATCCCGATGAGATCGGCTTGGGTCTGGAGGAGCAAGTCTGAGGCGGCCATGCCGCCGTCGACCCGCAGCGAGGAGAGGGCCACGTCGGGCGCGTCGGCAGCCATGGCCACCAGCACCTCGGCAGTGCGGAAGCACGGCGCCTCGAGAATAGCACGTGCAATGTGGCTCTTGTTCGACTTGAGCGTGAGGCCGGCAATGACGCCGCGAGCGTGCGGAGTCCAGTGCGGCGCAAAAGGCCCGAGAAGGCCGGCACAAAGACGACCCCGGCGGTGTCGTCCACCGCCGTCGCGAGCTCGTTGATCTGCTTCGGCGAGTCGATGATGCCGAGGTTGTCGCGCGCCCAACGCACACCGAGGCCTGCCACAGCGACCGAGCCCTCAAGCGCGTAGTGGACCGGCGCGTCTGGGCCGAGCTGGTAGGCAACGGTGCCGAGGAGGCCGGCCGACGAGAACCGCGGCGTGGTGCCAACATTGAGGAGCATGAAGCAGCCGGTACCGTACGTGTTCTTGGCGAGACCTGCAGCAAAGCACCGTTGGCCAACCAGTGCCGCTTGTTGGTCGCCGAGGCAGCCGGCGAGCGGGACGTGAGCAAGATCCGGCACGACGGCCGGGTCAATGCGGCCGTATTCCTCGGCCGAGGACACAATGGTAGGCAGGGCAGTCGGTGGGAGGTCAAACAGCTCCAGTGCCTCCGACGACCACTTGAGGCTTGACAGGTCCATAAGACACGTCCGCGACGCGTTGGTCACATCGGACACGTACACATCGCCGCTTGTCAGCCGGGCGATGACAAAGGCGTCGACGGTGGAGAGGCGCAGGTCACCGTCGGCGGCGGCGTCGGCCACGGCCGGCACATTCTCCAGCAGCCAGCGCATCTTAAAGGCCGAAAAGTAGGTCGACATGGGAAGGCCGGTGATGGCGGCCAGGGCGCGCTCGCCGCCAGCCTCGGCGGCAATGCGGTCGACAATGGCTGCCGTCCGCACGTCGGACCAGATGATCATCGGCGCCAGAGGCTGCCCGCTGGCGGCCGACCATGCCACCGTCGACTCGCGGTGGTTGGTCACGCCGACGCAGCCAATGGCTTCGGGAGCAATGCTGGCCTCGGCCTCGGCCGCCGCCACGCCCGCCGCCATCACCGCCACGCACGCCTGCAGCACCGCCTCGGCGTCTTGCTCCACCCACCCGGGCTGTGGCGTCGCCGTCGGCACCTCTTGCGCCACAGACGCCGCCACCGTCCCGTCGTGCTGGAAAACAATGAACCGTACCGACGATGTGCCTACGTCCAGTGCCGCCGCATACTCTGTAAAGGGGGGAGATGGAGAGGGTGAGGAGGAGGGGAGGTAGGAGGAGGTAGGGGGGGGCGGTGATCGATCACTGCCTGCTTTCGCCGTTTTACGGAAAAGGTCGTACTCTGGTCAGCCATGTTGCGCGGGGAAGTGTGGGTGTGTGGGGTGGGGGTGGTAGGAGGTACGGTGGGGGTGGGGTGAGATGGAGTGGGAGAGGGGTGAGTTGGTGGGGGTGGGGATGCTGAGGCTTTGCCAGAGGCAGTGGAGGTGACGAGGGAGGACGGCGTCTTGATCCTGACCGTGGGCCGTCGGGCGGCGGTTGGCGGTGGCACGCGGCAGGTGGCACAGAGCCGGCGTGTTCCAAGGTCCGCACAAGGGTACGTGGATGGGCCTAGAGCAGAGAGCACCACACCCGTCGCTGAGAGCGGTGACAGCGGGATGTCTGACGACGAGGCTGCGCTGCTGGAGCTGCTTGCACTCGAGGGCGCGGGTGAGGGCGAGGGTGAGGGCGAGGAGTACGAGGTCGAGTACGAGTACATCGAGGTGGAGGAAGTTGACGACGACGGCGACGGCGTGGTTGACCGCGTCTTGGTCGATGAGGACGGCGACGGCAAGGCCGACGTCGAGTACACTTTTGAGTATGTCGAGGTTGAGGTCGATGGTGGTGACGGAGACGGCGGCGGCGGCGACGATGACGACGACGACGAACTGGGCCTGCTTGACGCGCTGCTGGCGGACGGCGACGGCGAGGAAGAGAAGGAAGGAGGCGATGGCAGCGGGGCCGGCGGAGGGGATGCGTCTGATGGAGATGGGCCCAGTGACGATGGAGGCGCCGAGTTGGATGCCCTGCTGGCGGCCGACGACGACGACGACGACGACGACGACGAGACCGGAGCGGCCGGGCAAGGTGCTACCCGGAGCGCGGGCGGTGACGACGATGACGACGACATCAACGATCTTAATGCGCTGCTTGCTATGGGGAGTGGTGACGACGAGGTAGATGGAGGCGCAGACGGCGTCGGCAGTGGACAGGCGGCGGTGGCGTCGGGCTCGTTCTCGGCCGAGGCGGACGCCATTGACGCGCTCATCGACGAGCAAATGGCCAATGATGAGAACGTCGAGGAGGACAAGGGTGCCGATGAGACGATGGATGCTCTGCTTGCGCTGCAGGAGTTCTCGGACGATGACAAGGCTGGCGGCACCAACGACGATGACGGCGGCGATGACGAGGCCGATGCCGCGCTGGCGGCGCTGGACGCGCTCATGGACGATGATGACGACAACGATGCGGCGGCACTGGCAGTGCTGGAGAGTGTTGCAGACGACGGCGACGGTGCCAAGCCGACTGACGGCGATGGCAACGACGATGGCGCGAAAGAGGCGGATGCGGCACTGGCAGCGCTTGCCGCTCTAGGTGAAGACGATGATGACGACGGTATCGACGACGGCAATAGGATCGACGTAGACGGTGGTGGAGTTGCGTCCGACAATGATGATCCGGCCCTGGCACTTTTGGAGGCTGTGACTAGTGAGGATGGAAGCAATGGTGACGATGCGTTGGCGGCGCTCGATGCGCTGGCCGACGACGAGTCGGACAACGACGCCGATGCACTCGCCATGCTTGCTGCGCTTGGAGCCGACGACGGCGATGAGCCAGTCAAGGCTGCTGCAGGTGGTGCAAGCGACGACGGCAGCGAAGAGTTTGACTGGGCAGCGCTTGGAGCCGACGACGACGATGAGCCGGTCAAGACTGGCGCAGGTGGTGCAAGTGACGACGGCAGCGCAGAGTTTGACTGGGCAGCGCTTGGAGCCGACGACGACGATGAGCCGGTCAAGGCTGGCGCAGGTGGTGCAAGTGACGACGGCAGCGCAGAGTTTGACTGGGCAGCGCTTGGAGCCGACGACGACGATGAGCCGGTCAAGGCTGGCGCAGGCAACGAGAGTGGTGGCGGCTCCAGTGGCTTTGATTGGGCCGCACTTGCCGACGACGAGAGCGACGAGAGCGGGTGTGGCGGCGGGTCGAGCTCGCCTTCGTTTGCGTTTGGCGACGGTTCATCAGGCAGCGACGACAGCTCCAGCTTTTGTTTCGACAAGAGCACGGATACCGAGTCCGGTGCAAACCTTTTCGGGAGCTCGTCAGCCAGCAAGTCAGAGAGTTTCGGCTTTACCCTTGGCGACAGCGACTCTGGCGAGAGCGACGACGAAGGGCTGTCAGCGTTCATGTCGACCGACTCGGAGGAGGAACCCATCAAAGCGGTGATGATGAAAGCAGCAGTCGGCAAGGAGAGTGCTGGGCGGCGGCGGCGGCGGCACCGGCGGGTGAGCAAGCATCGCGATGTGCGTGGGCTTGGGCTCTCGCCATCGTACGATCCGCGACTCGACCCGCGGTCGCCGGTCTTTGATCCGTCACTTGCTGCGTACGACGCACGTCTTGATCCTGCGTCGCCGATGTACAATCCACACCACCCCGCCGGGGTAGCGCATCCCTACATTGCACCGGCGCTCTCGCCAGCCGAGGTCGAACAGCGGTATGCACTGGCGGCGACTGCTGCCGCAGCCGCAGTGGCGGCCGCCGTCAAGGCACCGCTTCCGAACCACAGCTCGCCGCCGCCTCACGCTCGCAGCAGCGTCTCGCGTCGACGGGCGAGCCACAGCCACGGACATGGACACGGGCACCACCATCGCCGCGGCTCGTCTGCTGTTGGATCGCCGATCCACTTTCGCCCTGAGCATGGCTCACCTTCGCCGCCTCCAGCAGCTGGGCGATCGCCACTGAGCCGACCGCCTACAACGGCGGCAGCGCCGGGGTCGGCGCCTCAGGACCGGCGGCGGTACGAGCAGCGGCGGAAGCGCGAAAGTCCCCGGCGCAAGCGGTCGCGGCGAGAGAGCCCGCGGCGAGAGAGGTCGCGACGAGAGAGGTCGCGGAAGCGCAGCGCACGCAGATCGCCGAGGCATCACGGCTCGAGTCCGAGATCACAGCGGCGGTCGCGGCGGGGGTCGCGGCATCGGTCGCGGCACCGGCATCGGTCGCGGCGGGGGTCGCGACATCGGTCGCGGCGGTCGCGGCACAGCCGCAAGCGCTCACGGTCGCGGTCGCGGCGACATGGGCGACGGCATGGGCGGCGGCGCAAGACGTCACCAACCGTGTCGGAGATTGCGGCCGAGGTCCGGGCGCTCGAGGCGCAGTCTGCCGTGTCGCTCG